ATGCAGTAAAAACCATAAAATCAAGAGGATTTTGAAAAAAAAAAAACCATTAAAAAATAAACTGGATTTAAATGTCAATTTGCTGTATGTGGCTATAACTTTGAAAGAAGACAGATTCCCTAGTTGGAAACTGGGTGAAGGACAAACAGTGGCTCTGCTCTTTGAGGAAGAGTCGAGTCCTTGAAATACACCCAGAGAAGGGAAGCCATGGAAAGAATGGTTGTTGTTGTTTTTTAGTCATTAAGTCGTGTCTGACTCGTGACCCCATGGACCAGAGCACGCCAGGCCCTCCTGTCTTCCACTGCCTCCCAGAGTTGGGGTACTGTGTCTTTAATATTGAAAATCGATTTAATGCTCTTTTAATATTTACAGTGGTGGGTTGTTGTTTTTAAAACTATACTATAAACTGCATTGGGCCTCACTTCCTGGGAGGAAAGAGGGGTATAGATCAAATAAATCGATAATTAATTAATTATTTAATACAGAAGGATAAAATTTTATCATTTAATTACTTTTGATTTCAGTGGGATGGAATTAATCAGAGTCAACATCCAAGACTTCCAAATTGCTAGATGGTGGAGCCCTGAAACAGCAATGATCCATTGCTTATTCCAGATTGTGTTGGGATCTACTTACCTGCTAGATCAATTAATAGCCCCTGAGCAGTTCATCAGCAGCCTTTTCTCTTCATCAAGGCTGGACAGGATATCAGTTCCTGTACATCTTCATAACCACGGAGTGAACCTCCCTCATGCTCACTATTGTTAAGGCCTTATCTTTCTCCTTAAATAAAAATCCAAAGTGGCTTGCAGCTTTTAAAGACAATATTTAAGAACAAAACAATGAGTATAATTGAATTGAACTGATTCTTTCAGGTAAGGATTTGGAGAGGCGATTATACAATTCCATCTTCACATGGGAGGGAGCCCTATTGCTCTCAGACAAATTTACTTCAGAGGTGACCTGTAGAAGACTGTACAGTGAAAAGACATTGGCCTTAAAAACACTGTAGGGTTATAAGCCTTGAACACATCTAAGGAGCAACCTCAGAGGTTCTCCTTCTGTCAATCAACAACACTAAGAAACAATTCCTTAACAAAAGCATTGTGCCTGTTTTGATTTTTTTAGAACCTAATTAGCCCATAATTTAGTGAGTGGGGAATTTGAGGAAAAGATGAAGAGAGGAGAGGTAAATACTACAATGCCATCTGCAGCTTCTATTTTTATACTGGTTTGGACAATTGAGTGTATTGGTTGCTTTGATTGGGGAGGGGCTTCAGTTGCCGATACATCAAGCACGAGGAAGAACAGAAAGCTACTGGGTTGGAAAGAAAAGTTGTTTAGTCTTGATGTGCTGTTTTTCTGTGTGCAGGGGCTTCTTAGTGATGGCATGATCACTCCTTGGTTTGTGCATTCGTAGTTGAATGGGATTATATTTGGATTTCCTAGTCATCCCCGTATACCCCAGAGTTTGCCAGTGACTGTGTACTCAGCAGGACAACTGTAACCCCTCAAAAACCCATTCTTTTTGATAAGAGACCTGCACAATGAATGTTACCTTCACCTTAAAATGTCATAATCCTATTCTACATGAACAAGGTTTTGCTTAATATCTTTTTGCTTCTGGATCCCTTACATCAGGGACTGAGAGACTCCAAATGTTTTGGACACGCCCTAGGAAGCAGGCTGGTCGGGGCTCCTGGAAGTTAAAAAACAAAACATTTGGTGATAAAAAGATATCTCCCCATATCTTATACTCTGCTAGCTACAGTTGTAAGATTTGCTATACTGTGAATGTGAGAACCTGAGTTAGGCAGCAGTAGATGCGGATAGAGACAGGGAGTATTTCTTTGCTTTCACTAAATTTTTTGAGAAGGTCAACCATGCTATCCTTGTAAACTAGTATAATGCAGCCTATCCAATACTTTGGCCATCTCATGAGAAGAGAAGACTCCCTGGAAAAGACTCTGATGTTAGGAAAGTGTGAAAGCAAGAGGAGAAGGGGACGACAGAGGATGAGAGGGTTGGACAGTGACACCAAAGTGACTAACATGAATTTGATCCAACTCTGGGAGGCAGTGGAAGACAGGAGGGCCTGGTGTGCTCTGGTCCATGGGGTCACAAAGAGTTGGACACAACTAAACAACTAAACAACAACAACAGCCCAAAGAATGCCCACCAACAATTCATTTTGGAGAGAAGTGTAAAATAATAGGCACTTTTGTCTTTCTGGATAAGTGGTTCCTAACCTTTTTTGAGTTGTGAACCCCTTTTATAATAGGCTAATAACCCATGACCGCCTATCACCATATTTGTATAAAAAGGCATCTTTAATGTGGTAAATTAGTGTGCAAAGACAGACTTAACTGAAAAAGACAATAATGCTAGGGAAAAAAGCAGAAAGAACTTGAGATGGAGATGGTTTCAATAGAGAGAGAGAAAAAGGAAAATAATGTAATAATTATTTTCTGCTTACCTGGAGTACAATGCCCAGTTCTGAATACTACAGTTTAGAAAAGCCTACTGAGAAGCTGGAACATGCCCAAAGGAGAGTAACCAAGAACCCCCTTTATATATCTGGAGCATTACGCTTTATTTGTTGTTGTGTATGTCATATGGGTGGGGGGAGATATATCATGAACCTAGAAGATGAGAGTGATCCATTAAATTATTGTTGAAAATATTGTATTTCTAGCTGGACCATGTTAAATTATCAGCTTACTGTGGTAAAAACCCAAAGTTGTGATTAAGCCCAGACTGAACGGAATCAAATGTGTTTATACAGCAAGTTGTACTTAAGCAGGTTTGATTCTATATTAACCTGATGCATCAGATTTTACCTATTTTCAATCATATCATGCTCCAGGTGAAAACCAAACAGTTCTTTTCATGAGTCAGACAGAGGTCTTACTGGGTTTAAGTTATAGCTCGAACACTTGTATGATAATCTCTCATGGCAGAAGTGATCAATAACCAAGGAAGGGGCAGTTTAATTGTCTTAATTTTGCAGCTCAGACATCATTCTGCTGAGGGTTGGAGGTTGACACCACCGGAGAGGAAACAATATTTAATTGGTGGAGTAGCAGCTGGCCTGTTAATACCATTATAGATATTAGATGAGGGGTCCACAGGAGCATATGATGGGAAATATATTGATAATGTCATTTTTCTTAAATTTTTGAAAATATATGTAATGAATGTAATTTTGGGCTGAAAATTCATTTAATGTGCAAGAATAATTTTGACTCAAACTCATACTTTTCCCACCCTAATGGCACTCAGAGCTAATAATATCTGTCTAGCCAGCTAAAGAGGTTTTAAAAGAGTAGGCCATTAGAGTAGCCATCTGACCTTGATTAAAACTGCATTAACCTTTACATTAAAATGCATTTAAAATGCAGACACACTGAAAATATCACACACAAATAAAATAAATCTTGGTGATTCTGCGGCTTTACTATCCTTATTTGTGTGGACGACAGCAATTTGTTGTCGTGACATCTATAATTTTCTAGGGGATGGTCACTTTTTTGCTGCCTTAATTTGCGTTGTTGAGTTGGGATTTTTTGGGTCAGAGAGAAGTAATTGAAAGGAAGCAACAGAATTAATGAGCATTCCAACTATATACATTTTACAGGACATGATCTTTGTTGAAGAAGATCCGGAAGATCATTTAAAGTTAATTTTATTACTTTACAGATAAAGTGGACCATTCAGAAAGGCAATTCCAAGAGTTGTGTTCACACCAGTTTCATTGCTTGGCATGTTGTTCTCACTACACTTTCTGTAGCTTTCAAATTCTTTGCTTGACATTGGTGTCACTATTGTTGTTGTTTAGTCGTTAAGTTGTGTCCAACTCTTTGTGACCCCACGGACCAGAGCACACCAGGCCCTCCTGTCTTCCATTGCCTCCTGGAGTTGGGTCAAATTCATGTTGGTCGCTTCAATGACACTGTCCAACCACCTCGTCCTCTGTCGTCCCCTGCTCCTCCTCTTGCCTTCACACTTTCCCAACATCAAGGTCTTTTCCAAGGAGTCTTCTCTTCTCATGAGATGGTCAAAGTACTGGAGCCTCCACTTCAGGATCTGTCCTGAAGATGTGAATATTAGGGGGTGTGAATAAACTACAGGCCAGACAGATTTGTTATGCCTACAATTCAGGTAGGTTGGCTATTTGTTGTAAACAGTTAGACCTGTTGCTAGGTAGACCTTGGTTGGTTGGAACAAACAAGCAGGGATGGGGACTTGAGTTGTAGGACACGCTTTCAAGTTGGACTTAAGTCACACCAGTGACTTCAATCAGAATTGCCTCACATTCCCCCCCCCCCCCAATAACTCAGATTTGACTCATGATTTGGAACCCACCCACTCCCTATATATATATATATAGGGAGTGCACAGTTCTGTATTGCAGGGCGGGATATAAATGTGTCAAAATCGTACCCCACTCTTTTCTCTAAATGGAAGTGATAATCTTTTAATGACAGTATCCAGATGTTGCAGAATGCTATCTAGATCTTGCATCAATGAACAAATGAACATTTGTCACACTGTAAACTGACCACCTTGAAGAGCCATATAATAGCCTTACTCCACATTTTCTGCCAAAGTAACATTATCTTGATGGCCTTCATAAAGATCTATGTTGATTGGGAGTCAACCTTGGCAGGGGAAGTTTGGCATTGAGCAAGTCTGTAGCATCCTTCAGAAGTTAAATATGATCCTTGTATTGACCAGCCTTTTTTGATTAATGCCATGGATAACACCATTTAGTGCATCTGTAGAATTAAGTTTGAAAAAAAACCACATAGATAGAACAAAAATCCTTTGCCACCTGGGAAGTTATTTTGATGAGGTAATGTTTTATTGACAAAATGATGGCGTGATACTGAGTTTTCTTAAAGCTTTATATTTAATTGATTAGCTCCGTTCACATGGCTATAAATCTGGAAGTAAATCTGGCTTTCAGGTGCCTGAATTCTAAACATATATGTGGCTGAGATGGTACTCATGGAAGATGTGATGGCACTCTTGTGAAAGGCAAGTAGGAGAAGCTCAGGCAATCTATGCCTGCAAAAGCTGGCCGTTGCTTCAGGTTGAGGTCTTCTAACCAACTGGACCTGGAGAAAACCATAGATAAAAAAAGAACAATCAGGCTTTGAATTTCCAGTCCTACCAATTTCTGTAGTGCACACTCAGGGTATAATCTGCAAAACAGATCATCAAAGCTCTGCCTTGGAAAACATGAGATATGAATAAAAGAAATAGCAACCGTATGCAAAGTGACTTTTCTGAACTGCAACATGGGGCGAGGTTGTTCATTGTTACTATATAAATCTCAGGGTACAGCTACACTAATGCCTTCTCCCTTAGAGACCTAGTAAGTTTCAAGGTCATCTGCTGAGGCTACAATCCACTGATGGTACAGGTATACCCTGTTTCCCCGAAAATAAGACCTAACCTGAAAATAAGCCCTAGTATGGTTTTTCAGGATGCTCGTAATATAAGCCCTACCCCAAAAATGAGCCCCAGTTAAATGAAACCCTGCCCTACACCCTTGGGCAGCAACCAGAAGAAGAGGACATGACTGTATTTAAATCAATGTAGATGGTTGTACATGAAAAAAATAAAACATCCCCTCAAAATAAGCCCGAATGCATTTTTGGAGCAAAAATTAATATAAGACCCTGTCTTATTTTCGGGGAAACACAGTATTTGGCATGATTTGTTGCTGTTACATGCCATGAAGTCACATCCAACTTATGGCAATTCTAATGGGGTATTCAACGTACTGTATGTAAGATGTTCAAGGAGTGGTTTTGAAGATAGAGTTATGTCTGGAAGGCTGCCCTGCATAATTCAATCTTTGTTGTTTTATGGATAGCATAGATTCTATACATTGATTTTTGCCCTGTTTCACAAGGACCATAATGCTGTTGTGTAACTTATGGTTGTGGAAGAATGATGACATCACTAGTAGAGGGAGATTTTGGATAATTATAGACTTCTATCCTGCAGATTGTCATCAAACATAGGATAGCGGAATTGAATGGGGTTTATAAAGTCATTGAATCCAACCCCCTGCTCAATGTAGTCATTCAAATCAAAGTATATTTTTCATTTTGTGGAAGCTGTGGGAATTGTGGGATGGAAGGAGTAAATCTTCATTTCCTGAAAATCTCTTCTTGTCAGTAAAATCATCACTCTTCTACAGAAATAACTTACACAACAGGATTTTGGGCATTGCATGATTTATGATTTGTTGACACCACTTTGAGATCTTCTGAAGTATGCAATTTATGAATACTTGTACGTACAGAATTAAATAATTTGATATTATTATGAGACCCTTTGCTTTTTGGTACTGAAACCGAAAGTGGGTTGTGCATATTTTTAAATAAATAAAATAGTAGCCGATTGATGGATCAGAGAGAGCATATGTACTATATCAAAGTTTTATAGGGTGACCAAAGTCACAAGTAATTCTCAGTTCATTTCATTCACCCAGCTTGCATATTTGTGCAGTTCGCTACAGTGCTCATTCAGGTCAGCTTCTCGGAAATGTTATCTCAGCATAAATATCTCCTTCTCTTTTTTAAGAACCATAAGCGGCTGAATTACATGGTGTGATTAGCATAATGAAGGGAAGGACAATATTGACATTTCCTATGTCTGCACTCAGATAATGCTATATATCAAAAGAGATATCTGAAATGCTAATGGAAATGTAATTGATGTAGCCAGGGCACTTACGTTACAACCCACTGGAGAGGTTGGGAGCAAGCTTGTAAGGTAGATAAGATTAAAAGGCATTACTATTGCATTAACGGAAAACATATTTACACTGCCAAACGATAATAAGCTGGTCATCGTTTTAAATTCCGTGAGAGAAGGTGCAGCAAATTGCTCTATAATTTGCTGGTCTTCAACAGGTAGGTGTTGGCCCACAAGAGGTAGTATTGTGATTTACTGCAAGTCACACTAAGTTACGGTATTCTTTGAGAGGAGGGGAGAAAGAACTGGATGACATAGATAAGAAAAGGCAAAGAAGTGACATTATTGACACAATTTTATGTACGGTCTATATGTCTACTTAGAGGTACGTCTCATTAGATTCCATGGGACTGAACAGGCCTCACACAGAAATGCTATAGCCTTTTTCGTGGGTGCGAGCACCATTTTATAGTACTTGACGGGGCTCATTTGAGCAGACAGGTCTGGATTTGCTGTTAGATTGCAATCCTATATGTACTGTACTTTCTAGTCAGCAAGCCCACTAAATGTACTGGAGTTTTCTCAAAAAAAAAAAATTAAAAAATGCATAGGCTTCCATCATGGTACAGTTAAAAAGGATGCATTTAAAAAGGACGGGAAGTCTGCTACTGAATAAGATCTATTTAGCAGTTAAAAACAATCGGTATGTTTCAGAGAGGAACACTCCTTCTGCACATGCTGAATTTTTTGCAAAGTTCCAGAATTGCAGACCTAGTAATGAAACTCTGTGAATGTTTGCAAAATCTCATGCTGTAAGAACATCAGAAATAACGTCACTCTTCAAATCCCACAAATTGTTTTTTTAATGGCAATGCTGGCTAGGATTTTCTGGGATTTGGGAGCCCCAAAAGACACTTTTCTAAGTTGTGCAATTACATCCTATGGGAAAGGGAATCCTGAAGCTTTTTAGACACATTTTTTTTAGATAGGCTTCTAGACTTCTCTGGTTTTAGACTTTTTTAAAAAAATGAATCAAGAGAACTATCATTTGCTTTTTATGATTGTGCAGCCATATTATGTGGCCAATGTCAATTCTTCAGCCCAGGAGGCCCCCAAATTACCACTGAGCTGGTAAAGCATCAGAACGTGGGCCAGGTGTCAAAACCCGGGCTAGGCAGGGCCCATTAAATCTGACCCTGAGCACCATGGTCTACTTTAATCCTTTCTCCTCTCCCACTTCCCCCCCCTCCTAATTAAGGGTTGGCCAGCCAGACATCTACTTAATCATAGATGCTCATTTTCTTATTTTGATTTTTAAAAATATTACCCTTATCCAGAAAAATTATTCTCATTTCCAAGTGAACCCATTTAGTATCGGCACAGCATAAGCAAACTGTGTTTTATTTCTGTAGTCCTGAGGGTGCTGTGATTCACAGGAGTTTAAAATGCAAAACTCCACATGCTCAGAGTTATTTCATTTTTTAAAACTGAGGTTGGCAAACTGTTTTGTTCTCTGCCAAACAGATCAGAAAGGTGGGAGTAGTTTTAAAGCACGGAAAGGCCATTGGTTTGGGGGAAAGATAAATACTAGTTGCATCATTCACAAAAGAAATAACACACATGGTAATCTTAGGTACCTTCTCTACACCACCATACTACAGGGTTTTTTTTGTATTTTGTGACTACTTCTTTAGAGAGAGTAACAGAAAAGAGACAGGCCGTCTTAAAGAATGTATTTTAATTCTGATGACTCCAAGATCAAGGAATGATCTATTTCTCTCTCTCTCTCTCTCTCTCTCTCTCTCTCTGTGTGTGTGTGTGTGTGTGTGTGTGAGTGTGTGAATATATATATATGTTCCACATCACTACAGATGGCTTCAAGTTGCTTTCTAGTGGCGTCTCTTACATTTTCAGGCTGCAACTAAGGCTGAGAATGCTATTTCAGTTTGATTTTAATATTTACCAAAAAACACAGCTTTCTTAAGTTTTGGTATGGAAAGCACATGATATACAGTATTAAAATCTGAATATGGAAGAAAGCAAAAAAAGATACATTTTCTCATTTGTAGGCTGCATATCCAATTGTATGAGACACGAGAATGTTCAACGAAATGAATGTAGAAAACTACTTCAAGCTAAGGAGGGGTTACCACTTCTAAATTTTCCCCCCAAATCCCCTGGCAAATAAAAAACATTAGCTCATTAAAGTGGGATTTAATTGCCTCTTCTTGCAGAGCTACCATCCTTTACAATTCTCCTTCATTTCACCTCCTACCGCTGCCATTAAGCTTTTTAATGAGAGTGAGAGATTTGTTCATGAAGTATCATATCTAAACTGGAGGTTCAGTTGAAGACCATGCTCTGTAAAAGAGCACCAGTTATGGTCAATTTTAGTCTCATTGTCTACTCACAGTATTGTGGTCCTTTCATTTTAAATAAGATTGGCATCGTTTTCTTGACTCACTTACACAATTAAACCAAGGTTGTTTATCTCTACAGTTATCCAGTGATTGTTTCTCATGATGGCAGAGATTATCATAGTGCCCCTCCAGACCAATCAACCTTAAGCTATTTAAGGTGGCTGTGTACTTTAAGTGTCCATAAATCAACCTAATGAATGAAACAGCACATACAGAAATTCATTACATATCAGATCCACTGGGGTATGATTTTATTATTTGATGCATGCTTGTTTTGCCACATGAAATTCAGCATATGGCAAATTACAAAAGGCTGACATTTCTTTCCCTGTAAGCGGAAGACATTTCCAAAATAAATGAAAAGAGAGAACCTACCTAAATGTTTTATTATAATAAAGTTACTTGAGGCCAGAAGTTCAATAAGGAGGATTTATAAACGTATCATTTCAGTTCTTGGAAGGATTTCAACATAATTTGCTCGTGGCGTAGCAAAGTGAGGCGAAATCCATCTACGGTCCCCATGGAGTAATAAATTTGCAGAAATGTCTGTTTAGATTTGCCTTTGAGTTTACTGTGTCACCGAAAAAGAAAATGCTCTAGATCATCCCAACCAAATACGTATAATTCTTGGGCAAGTAGAGAGTTATTTACGCTGTGCATCTTTTAAAGTAATAAAGGCCATTTTAGTTCCAAGCATTAGTAGTGGAGGTCTGCAAAACAGAAGGCTGGCCCTTGTAAATCCTGGAATCCAGATGGGGCTACTCAGATGAGTAAAGACTACTGATGTGATAAATGGTTGGTAGAGGTGAGCTCTTGGGTTTCAACCCTGTGCAATAATTCTGAATACCCTTTTAGGCTGAGTTGACAGTGTAAATACATTACAATAATGGAGGCTTCATTTGATGTCCATTTGTAAATGAACATAGATTTTTCAATTTATCTAAGTAATTAGCCTCCCGTGGTGATCAGGACTCCCCACCCCTACCCCGCACCTATTTCTGTTGCAAGGCTACAATACTTTTACAGATAACTACTGTTTTCCAGGAGGTGGGCAGCCATGTTAATCTGCTGCAGCATAAACCAACAAGTCATCTTGGGGCACCTTACAAACTAACAAGTTTTATTGGGCATGTGCTTTCATGGACTGTAGCCCACCTCTTCAGATATGTAGCAGTGATTATTCTGAAGTGGTCCATTCAAATTATGTTGTCAGTGTTGTGTAAAGGGGGGGGGGGGGGGAGAGAGAGAGAGAGAGAGGAAAAGATCAAGCTAATTAAAATAAAGGTGACATAAGCACTTGTCTTTTTTATAGTATTAGAGAGAATCATCACCATTACTCACCCGACTACCCACCACCACCTATCATGATAATTCCACTTTTCATTATTCCTTATGTCCTGGAATTCAAGGTGTACACATAAGGGTCACCAACAGGCATCTAGTTCATAACTCTACAACATCATGGCTTCATGTTGCATCAGGGACCTTCAGACTGTGCATTGGATATGATTATATTCAATGAATATTTGCTCCCAGCACATCATGGATTTTTACTTAATTTCCATGACATTGTCAAAAATATAGCCATTGATTATATTTAGTTCTGCTCATGAGGTCTTAAGCACTTTTGTCGGATGAAAAATTCAGACAGCCTCATTGTTCCTATTTATGGACATTCATCTAACAAAAGGCTTATGTCCTTTTTGAGGAAAAATAAAATAGAAATATTTTAAATAAATAAACATAGGGACAGCTGCTTTGAAAAAGCTAGGAAAGAGACTTTGCTGAATAATTATGTTAGCTGTGGGAATTATGGTTTAAAAAAAGCAGATTCTCAAGTTCAGTAAAGGGCAATGATTTCAAATGACTGGGTCTAATGATGTCTGAGATCACAAGATCGATCTGAATAGGACATCAGGGTGGTATACTGAGGAGCTGGCTCCTACTGATGGAACTGGCAGATGGACAGTTGAGGATCTCAAGAGGACAATGATTTCAAATGACTGGGTCTAATGATGTCTGAGATCACAAGATCGATCTGAATAGGACATCAGGGTGGTATACCGAGGAGCCCTGTATGAATACAAAGTGGAATTGGCTCCTACTGATGCAACTGGCAGATGGGCAGTTGAGGATCTCAAGAGGGTGACCACTATCTGAAGATGTTGCTTCTGGGACAACAACAACAGAAGATATCACACAAGATACCTTAGGAAGCTGTGCAGTGGGAGAAGGTGTGGGAAGGCAAGATCAAATGAAGTACAAGGAAAAACAGGAAATGTCATGATTGAAGAAGCTGGCTCCAAAAGGCCTGATGTTCCAAAAGATGTTTTGATGTGTACCGAATCCCTTGGACAGAGATTCCCTGGGAAATCTGGTGCCAAGAGATCTGAGTATGTGCAAACGATTTCTCCTGATCAATAGGTAGGTAAGTGTTCATTTGAAAGATGATTCTTGCCAGGCCCAAACTAATTTCTGTTCTCTCTTCTGTCAGGCTTTCAAATTTATGAGCACTATAATTTCAATAAGGTTTAGGAGGAAAGAGGAAATAAATTGATAGCTTTTGGAAATGTAGTTAATAAAGCCTCCAGCGTATGGTGGTGTGGAATTTAGAATCATGTGGCAAATGATGCTTCAGGATGCAGATGGTGACTTCAGGAAGGTGATGCAGTATCCAGTGAAGGACAAACTCCAAAAACTGCCTTATACCAGGCCAGATTATGCGTCTGTCCTACATAGTATTGCCTACGGTGGGCTTTTCTAGATGGAGCATTTGTACCTTTTGATGTTTCCCATCCAGCCTTGATCATAATGAAAATCCCCCCCGACCCCCACATAGTACTATTTATATCTTGCTTTGTACCACTTCCTGACACACTCAACACTCCTGGTTTATTTTCTGTTATTTCTTTGTTCTGGGGCTGAAATTTAGTGCTATGTCACTTCCCTTTTGCATGGATCTCCATAGTGGGAGCATCCTGGCAAGAAGCTTTCAATTTCCCATTTGGAAATGTTAGATCCTCAATGACATTTGAATGTAGCAATATAACTTTTGCATCCAAGCAGGTGCAAACTACTCAAGGTAATCTTATTAAATGAACTATATCATCTGCAATCTAACAGACAATAGCTTGGAGGCAAATTCCTGGTCAATTCATATGTTGTATCAGCAACAAGTGACATGAAGTTGGGACCAGGGGAGAAAGGGAATAAGAATGTTTTATCCTGAATAATTCTTTGACCAGCACCAGCCCTTCAGAGTCTCAGACGGAGGTATATCATGTCACCTTCACATTATTCTTCTAGCTAGAGATGCGAGGAATGGAACTAGAGACCATATGCACGTAAAGCATGTGTTCTACCACTCAGCTATGACTCCTCTCCTTCACATGGGCACAAACATGGAACAATCAAGCACACGTATAGCCATGTCAGGCCCTCCGAGAAGAAAGAACAAGGAGCTAGGTCACTGCCCAGCTGGCATCTTCTACTCAATAGAATTATCTGAGGCAACATACAAAACGACATTGTTGGGTTAAGGGGCCAGAGATGAATATAAGCAGTCAAATCATTTTTAAGGTGATATTGAAGTCAGTGCTTTGTACATGTGCAGAATGCAGAACTTTAAATGATTGGTGGCCTTGGTTATCTAATTAGCCTTATGGCACTAGATAAAAATACCTTTAAACAAACGATAATAAGGATACTTTGGAAAGGGGCGCTGGTCTATCTTTGCATTAAGTTAGTGTTCTTCTTGTGTTCTGCGCTACACATCACACTGGGCATCTCTCTACTAGGAAACAGAATCCTGATAGCCTGTGACTAGTGCTGGGATCCAGCTGAAAAATCAATAAGCTATAAGGGTGGAGGATAAGGAGAGAAGGTTATACGGGAGGAGAGAGTGAAAGTAAGAGAAGGGTTTTACTGAGATGAGTAAGAAATGGATTTTTCAAAATTTCTTAGAACTGTTTCCTTCTCCTCAGTGCTCAAAACAGGGGTAGGATTAAAATCATTGATGGGATTTTTCTTTTTCTTTCTGTAAGGCTTTACTCTAGTCCTATGATTTAAACTGAAATGGCTATTTAACATTGATTATTAAACTAAGTGCCCACTCCAAACAAATCTTAGCAGAATTAGATCTCTGGGGTCATTAACAGTTAACTAAACTTTTGTACTAATTTCCCCATCTCTGGACATGTGTCCCCAAAGGATATTTTGAGAAGATGTAAGGAAAGAGAAGACAAGAGTTAGGACTAATGGGGCAAGGAACCAAGGAAAGCATTGGTTCCAGACAGAAGACACACTGGAAGAGGAAGGAACCAAGCTTGTGCTGCATGCAGTTAATACTCTATTTGAAGCTTCCTTATGGTGGCCAAAATCCTGTTGCTTAATGTAGTAAAGTGCCCATGTAGAGTAGGCTCATTGAACCAATGTGGATTTGGTGAGTTAATTCCTCTGTAGGTCCCACTGATTCCAAAGAGCCTATTCTAAGTGTGACTTGCTTTAGCATAGTAAGTCACAGCTAGAGAAGGCAGATGGGAATCAATGGAACTTATGGAAGAGCTGACTGATTAAATTTCCATTGATTCAGTGGGCCTACTCTAGTGCAATTTTCAACAGGATTTTGGCCACTGAGTCAGAGCACTGGTGGGTTTTTCTTAAGCTCAGCTTTTTCAACAGTCACCACATACCTCTAGCATTTCAGATAGAAGTTCTTCAAGATCCACTTGGAAATTTCAAAAACTGAACCTAGGACATTCTGCATGTGAAGTATGAGCTCTGGTACTCACCTATAAATAGATATGGTAATCACGCTTACAAAGACACCATCAGAAGGATTGGACCCAGACCTAAGTCTCCAGAGAAATATTAGTAGATTTCAGAATGATGGCTGTAGTGAGGTGCAGAGGCAGCTGTAAGAACAAGAGACAAGTTGTAGACTTTCTCTTAGGACTTTTCCTTGCCGTCCAAGCTACAGGACCTGCAAAAGAAATCAGTGCCAGCATTCTGTAATTACCTTAGTAATTATCTTGGCTGAACTTGAGCAGGAGCTATTCAAATATGGAATCCTAAGATTCTTGCCTTGCCATTTTAAAATAAGGAAGTGGAATGAGTGGTGTGGTCCAGTGAGGTATAGTTGTTAGCATGCTGGACTGCGGGCTTGAGAGAGGTGGCCCATTTGGTATAATGAGCCATTAAATGCACTCAGTGACCTTGGTCCAACCGTCCTCTCTTTCAGTCTGACCGCCTCAATGGCTTGAATGAAAATAAAGTGAGCAGGAGGAGAGCAGTGTATGCTGCTCACCTCACTGGAGGAAAGAAATAACATAAAAGCAACCAATTCTTAATAAATAAAATAATAAGGAAAAGTGGGACAAATCATTAATATTGAGCCCTGGTAGCTGAGAAATCAAACTTGCAGGCTAACAGTCAAGGGTGAGTGTATGTGTTCAAGGTGTCCTCCCATTCAACCCCCAAGACTTAGTAATGTGGGGGCCATTTCCCCCTTACACAAACCTCCCTGTGAACTGGGGGTCTCCCTACTTTAACAGCAAGAAAAAAAGACACACAGACCACTTGATCTGGGAAAATGCCATCTCCTCTAGAATTTACTGCCTCATTCAGAAAGTTTTGTGCTATTTCAGAGTAACTCTAACCTTCATATGTTGTTTCGGGGTGTGTGTCTCTAAACATCAGAGCTTATTCAAACACAGGTGTTGCTGTGTCTGTTCAGTTCTGGGAATGCAAGAATAGGTTTGGCAAGTGACTTCCCCTACTTTCTGTCTCTCAGAACCATGGAGAGCTCTCTGTAGGCAAATCAGACACCTATCCGTGTATTCCATTTATAGGAGTTTCTTTGAGGGGAAAGCGTGTGGCAGGGAAGCAAGAGTACAATTAATAGCGATATGTTACCTGGTTTAGAACCAGATCTTGAAACCTGCCATCATGCAATGTATTGTGGGATTAAAAGAACTCCTGTTTTCATGTGTGACCTAAGATGCACTTCTTGTGCCCAACTGGGAACATCCAGAGCAGAGCCTGGAATGGTTAGAATTTAGGACCCAGTAGATCTGGATTCAAATCCCTGCTGAGGCATGAAACTTACTGGGAGGTGGGAATGGTAAACCATGAAACGAATATCTCATATTTTTCAAAAATGTTGTTAAGGTTGCCATAAAGAGGACATGACTTGACAGCCCGTGGGAACAACAGTTTCCAAGATCCCCCAGATAGCATGCCATATGGATTGGAAGTTCTGGGAGTTGTAGTCCTGAAAAGTAACTTTTCCCCACTCTGATGCATACATGTACACTGGACATCACTTGTGAAAAGTGGAAGCCCTCTTGTACTCTTTCAAATCATGACCTTCAATCGAAATTGTTCCATTGATTTTAATGTGATTAACACGGAAGTATTTTGCTGGGCAGAAACACTCATTTCAGCAATTAGTAATGAGTGGCCCTCCAGCTGTTTCAAGACTGCAAAACGAATTGGCTGGCTATATAGATAACAAAACATCTGGAGAGCCATACACCCCTCCTGCCTGCCCTACAACAAATAGATCATCTTACACCCTTTTCTTTGTGATTCTCTGTGTGCTTGATACTTCGATAATCTAAACATTAAGACAACACTCATCAAATCTATTTCACACTTCCCCTACTTTTATGTGGGATATATGACTTTTGAAACAGAGAAGCCAAGAGGGACTCAGTGTAGCTTTATTCTTTGGTTCCAACTGGCTGTTTCACTGAAGACATTTGACTAAAAGCCCTTTCTGTTGAACAGAGTTCTGCAGGAACAAAGCCAGCAATTAATGAAAGATGATAAAATAATAAAAGTAGTAATACATTAACTATATTATCCTTGCCCATTTGGGCAGTTCTTTTCATTATATCCTCTTTACAGACATCCTCCAATCACATTTGAAAAGCTTCTTTATTGCTGTCCTGTGCCTCTTTTGGTTTCTAGACATTAAAAAGTCTACTTAAATGCTAATGTTCACTTGGATGGTTCCATTTCCCCATGCTCGTTGTTAAGGAAATGCTGAAGTTTTTTCCTTCGCTGTTCTGGACATTACATCTGCACCATTTTTGGAAAGCCTGTGAACGGTGATATTTTATGTTATAAAAGTTCATGAAGTTGGAATATCTTTATGATTGTCACACACCGCGAACATTTCCTTGTAACATATCTGGGAATTGTTAAAAGAGCATGCTGAATAGATCTCTGTTATTTATGTATGCAAGTTGCATTTCAGAAAAGAAGTTTTAGATTCATACTGGCTATGCATTGATATACCATTCCTATCAGTGTGAACGTTAGCATTTACAATACCAGAATGTTGTAAAAGGGCTGATATGTAATGTGTAGTAGAAATTTTCTCCTTTTCTTTAAGCACTCCTTCCTTCCTTCCTTCCTTCCTTCCCTCCCTCCCTCCCTCCCATGTCAACCTCCTAGGGAAAAGCATTGACAGAGCCTGAGATAAATGTCAATTAATTATCAACTCATGTCACCCTCTTAGGGAAAAGCTTTGACAGAGTCTGAGATAAATGTCAATTAATTATCAAATCTGAATACTAAAGGGATTTATTAATTGGCACCATGCAAATCCCTAAACCAGCAGCAATAAATAATTAAAAACAAACACACATCTAGACTTGAGGAGTGCTAAAACACCTTAAATTGCTGCTGTTGCTGTTTTAAAATGACTGATGAAGCTGTTTTCCCCACTGTAATCTTTGGAGGTCCTAAAATGTCTGACAAAATGGAACGAAGAGATATTATTGCTGAATGGGAATCCCCTTCCGTTGGTATAATTTCATGTCTATCTTTTCCTTTTCCTTCCCCTGCTCTCCACCCCAGTTTTCTTGGTCAACAACTTTGATATTTCCGTGGCAAACAGAAGCATTTTACAAGTTGAGCAGGCACCAGTATGTTGTAACGTGTACATGCCTGATAACAAGAATTCTTCTGTTCAGAGTTACAGCCAGCCAGGACATTCTAATCAGAGATGGGGAACATGTGAGTCCCTACCAGTCCTTGCCACATCAACAGACACTCCCTCTTCCATCTTTTGCTCCATAAATCAGGAGACAGGTGCTCCTAACAAAACTGGGTTTACTAAAAGAAGAAGAAGGGGATCAAGAATTGTAACTGCATTGCCCGTGTATTCAGTCCCAAATCTAGAAGTTCTGAGTTTATGGCCTGTTAACACCTCTGGGAAGGTTTTCTGTACAGTCCTCCTCAATGGAGCCACCCCGTTGAGCTGCCCAATGGGTTCTATAACAGGGAGGGCTTATAAGCCCACCCTGGGGGAAGCTGTGCTGGTCTCCCTTGTCATTGCTTACTGAGCATGGCAGGCCCACTGCTGTTTCCTCTGCCAGCATCATACTTGGGTTGCCATTGATTCTCTGGCAGATCCCTTCTGGGCGAGTTGGTGAAACCTTTTCCTATTCACCACAATCATTGATTCTCTGGCAGATCCCTTCTGGGCAAGTTGGTGACGCCTCCTCTTTTCCTATTCACCACAACAGGAAGGGCATGGAGGAGTACAAGGCTTAAGCTGCCTCTCTGCCCCATCGTTGGGCACATTGAGCTGGACCAACGTCACAGCCTAAAGTTCATCCTTATGGCTCTGAGTCTTCTGGAAGTTCTACAAAAAGAGCCCTCTTCCTCCCATTACCCTTCCTCTACTATCAAAGCAGGGAGTAAGTATACAGTCTGTATGGCCTGGTCAAATTTCCTCTGTTGTCTTCTCTACATTCTTCCCCCATCTCTGCCTCCAGTCTCTGCTTTATTCTCCCCAGGTCCGAAGGGTCTTTCCCTGACTCCAGAGGTTGCTCCTTCAGTCCCAGGTTTTCTGCTTAAGTTTCTCTGTAGGTTCTCCTCTCCTGGCCGCTGGGTTTTTCTTTCTTTCTGGAGAGTCATCAACCAGCAACGTCTGTCCCAGGTCCACTGGGGAGTTCACTGTTTAGAGCTTAGCAAGTCACAGTGAGAGGTGAGACAGCTTACCGACGGGAGCACTTGTGTCACTGGCCCCCCTCCTCACAGGAAAGTTACTTTTTCACCAACAACTTCCAGTATACCCCAGCCAGCATGACCAAATGATAAGGAAATCAAGTGGCGCATTTCAATCCCCCCTTCTAGTTTTCAGGTTTTGCCATTTTAGAACACCGATGGTGATAGAAAATGGTGGTGATCTTTGATCATCCCAAACACTAGCATTGTGCTGATCTCTTCAACATATTTCATTATCAAATGCAAGGTTATATTCATTATATAGACATTTGAGGTGTGAGCTTTGGAAGGTTAATGAAAGGACAGCAATAACGGCTCTTTGAATATAATTATATTTTCTATACATTCATTTTGCCTACCCTACAGGAGGTTAGGATGATATAAGAAACCAGGTAGCTCTTTAGCTAGCTGTGTTATTAGTATTTGGCACTGGAATACATTATATAAATTTATTGAAGGGAAAGTAGAGTCCACCAAATGCAAAGTATAAAGGGCAGTTGTTGCCCAGGATATGTTTTCCACATTATGCTTGTAACTAATGACTCACAGCAATCCATTACTAGTATATATTATGCTTTGGGAGAATGCCCAAAAGCTATTTCTGCTCAAAACAGATTAAAATTAAGAAACAATTTGCATGACTCTATCAACACAAGCCAACCTCAACATATCTCCTCTTCTTGGAATCTTAGTTTTCTGACTTGGAAGGGGGTACTTGAACAGCTGTGTCCAACAGGTCACAAAAACACATGGGGCAATCATGCTACTATGAGATCTATATGAAAGACCAACTTCTTGACAGTGTAATGTTTCTTAGAAATCCTATTAAATGCATCTACAATTGCTTCCAGATAGACAAACACAGTAATCTACACCAGATGTTACTATTGCT